CAGTCATATGAGCTCATGGAATAAAGGCATTTTAAGGGGAGATACTTTTTCCCAGGGACTTGGAGGGAAAAAAAAGACATATTTTTTAAATGAGTAAATATCAGTAAGTTTGTTAATACTGCTAATCTCTTCGGCGGAATAAAAATCATCTGAACAACATGCCGCTAACATTAGCTGACAAAACGAGAGGGCTGGAATGGTGATTTTCTGGTACAGTGACACAAAACAGACTTTCCTCTTTCTGTTTTTAGAAAATTACCTTCGCCCCTTCTCCTCCCGCAGCCTACTGGAGAGCACATCTGGAAGGCATCCTTCAGGAAACCAGAGCCGACGGTAAATCCATTTTGCAGGGGTGTATTTTTCCTTGCTGTTCCTCACTTTGGGCTGTGCTTTCTAGTTTCCTGGAGTAAAGCCCAGTGTTTGCCCTGGGGGCAGGCTAAGGAGCTGGGGCACTCAGGTGGCCCTTCAGAAAACCTGGGAGTGATTACCTGCCTGGGAGAGAGCGTGGGAGATGCAAAGGCCCAGGGGCAGGTTCGCAGGCCAGTGCAGATGCCCCAAGTTCCACCCGCCCTGTGTTCCTCAGCCCCTCAACTTGGGGTCCCACTCCCTGCGGGATTCTGAAAACCCCAGCCAATCGATTCTATTTGCAATGACTTAGCCAGACCACAGCCACATGTTGTTGGGAAAAACTGCTTTAAGGTCCAAGAAGCCTTTGAGACTGGCTTTTGTTTCCTGGGACAGAAAGGCCCTTGAGGTCAAATACAGATTAATGCCTGGTTTCCCCTCAAATACCTGCTCAGCTTCATCTGGATACTTGGGAGGCTCTACCCCATTTAACACCACTTGCCCCAGGGAAGCCCTGATCGCTGTGACTCAGGAGCTCAGCAGCTCCTGGCCAGCACGCCAATCACAGGAGGCTGCTGCTGCTGTCCTCAGAACTTGATTGCTGGCCCTATGGCCAAGTCTGGTGCACTGTGAATTCAGGGAGTACAGGAGGAGGCCCGCCTGGTTGTGGTCCAAGTGTCCTACTCGGGAAGGTCTCAGGGGCAAGGCAAGAGGTTGCAAGGCAGAGAGGAGCAGCTTCCTTAGCCTTTCTGCTCACATCAAACTGCAGCCGCCCATGAGGTACACCTCAGTCAGCATCTCATCAGTCTCGGCCACCCTCCCAAAGCCACCTAGCATGGGCACTGACAGCCATCCATCAGCGTCTGCAGAGCGGCTGACGGGGCTTGACAGCTAATCTCTCCATGGCAATTTTGAAAGGCAAGTTATGGGAGCTGGCAAGGGAATCCACTGCAACCTCCAAGGGGCTCTCGGCAGCCTCTAATGGGATGTCCCAGGGTGGCCTTCATCCTCCATGCTTCACCCCTCCCCAAGCAAGCTTCTCCAGTGCACACGTAGATGGTCAAGGCAAGAGCAGTACAAGTGATAACCTGCAAACCACCCTACGCGGCACTGCTGAGTCATATAAAGTTGTTCCATATGACCCACGTTCAACTCATCCATTAGAACAAAAAAACCCAGTTTTGGCAGTTCTTGTTTTTAAAGGAAGAAATTGAGGGAGAAAAGAAAAGGGACAATGAAATGGTCATAAAGCTCTCAGATATCCCACAGCTGTTTGGGATAAATCTGCTAAAACTCCTTAGGAGAGAATCTTCTCCAGTGGGTCTTTTATATTTTTGCAGGGAACTCAGGCCATCAGTTTTGTGACTTTCAGATACAAACAGAAATGGGAACCCAGATATTCACCAATAATCACTGCTGAAAATGGCAGAGCAACACAGTGTGAATTCACTTCCTGCAGTGTTCTCTGCTCCCTCCAGCCTCAGGGTTGTATTGTAAAAGTTGCATCTCATACACCCTAGAACCTAAGAATCTCCCCATCACCTGCCCAGGAGCTCTAGGTGGCCAAGGTTACCCCACGGCTTCACTTAATTGTTTGAGTCCACTGTTATTTCAGATGGGATTTTGATATTCATTCAGATGCCACTTCCATGCAACAGAATAAATGTGAACATGAGTGAAGGGTCTTGGAAGTCATAGTGATGGAGGACAAGAAGAGAAAGACTGTAAAGGAGGCCTCACAGGACTAAAACCTGACTCACACAAGGAGGTGGGGGTCGAGGGGAATAACAGGACCATTAACCCAGCTGTAGAGGTCGTGACCCTTAGGCACCAGGGCCTTATCACAAGGCAGGAGACTCAAGCAGGATCAGATGCTACAGGGAGTGAAGCACAGGCCTGAGAGTAAAGATATGGAGATTGGGCCCACCCTGAAATCTCTGGTCCCTTTCTAGTTTTGCCTGTTACCCAACATCAGCAACAAGCAGCCACTCGACGGAGGAGTGACCCCTCCCAAAGAGAAGAGGACTGTATCAGCGCAGTCTCTGCACAGGCTGGGGGCAGCGCTCCCACTGCCCACCTGTGACTGTGCAGGTGCCTCTTTTCACCAACTCTCTCCCTCTGCAGGAAGCATCTTCCTGCCTGCCCATGACCTGTCAAGGCCGCCTGCCTGCAACCATGAAGGCCTTTCTCAGCAAAACCTGTCCCTTTCCCTTATAAACCTGCTCTTTAAATATAATTAATGTCTCTGTCTCCTGGAGAAATGTGCCTGGGGAACTTGCCGTGTGCCACTGAAACAGGAGCTTTGGTGAAACTGTTAGGGGGAAATGATGTCCTGAGCTAATTCCATGCAGGCTTTGTGGACACCACCCCCACTCCAGACCAAAGCCATCAGGACATTGGGAAAGACAAATCCCGTCACCACCAAAGGGAGGGTGGCTGGGACCTGAGGGTGGAGTTGGGCAGCCAGGTTAGATATACAAACCAAACACGTGGGCCTTGGGGTTGCTCTCTCGCCTCCTGGCTTCATGGCTGCTGGCTGGCGGCCAGCTCTCAGAGCGCCATTTGGAATTCTAGATTGGCGGATCGGGTAGGACGCATTTAAAACTTTGTCTCCCACTTTTCTCCCTGAGCTGTACCTTTCCTCATTTGCCCTTCCCTTGTAAATAAACCTTTTGTTAACCTTTCGTGTGTGCCCGCAGTAGAGCATTGATAAGTCCTTTGAAGCGCGCGGGTGAGGACCCACAGTCAGGCACCCCGTTTTGTATCGGGGCTGCCCTATAACAAAACCTTTCCCTCAGTGAACCCAAGGACCCCACACTCTGCGAAACTACATCATTTTGGCGACCACAAAGGGACTCTTTATGTCATCTGGCGCCAACATCAATAGGACACTCAGACACAGGCAGTGTTCCTACTAGTCAAAAATGAGCACATACAGGGGCCTCCCTGGTGGTGCAGGGGTTAAAGACAGCACTAGCAAGCTATTGCCAGCCACTGCAGCTCAAATTCCATCCCTGGCTGGACAGGGAGCAACCCACTTGGCGCAGCAGATCTCTCCTGCCTTGCCCACAGCTTCCCTCAGCAGTGTATTTCAGTAGACCTATCTGTTTTGCTCCCCACTCTCTGGTGAATCCTCTTGATGGAGGATAAGAATAAAAAACGGTAAAGGAGGTGTAGCAAGACCAGAAATCGGGCTCACACAATGCCAAGAGCTGGAAGTGAGGGTAGGGGATTAGCATAGCCATTGACCTGACTGTAGAAACCAAGATCCTTAGGCGCCAATGCCTAGATTACAAAGCATAAGACCCAAGCAGGTATCAGACTGCTAGTAGGGCGTGTCTAGAGCACTAGACCCAAAGGTAAAGATATTTTGAGCCCATTGTGCAATCTCCAGTCCCTTTCAGATTCTGGGAAGTTATCCAAAATCAGCAACTAACTGAAGGCTCACAAGGAGTGAGTGCCTCCCGAAGAGAAGATTTTATCAGTGCAGTCTCTGCACTGGCACAGGGCAGCAGCCCTTCTGCCCACCTGTGACTGTGCAGGTGCTTCTCTTCACCAACTCTCTCCCTCTGCAGGGCAGCAGCCTTCCTGCCTGCTGGTGAGCAGTACCGTGCTGGCCTTCTCACTGACCTCACTGACCCCCCTCAGCAGAGGCAGCTCTCCTCAAGGCCGCCCACCTGCACCCACGTAGGCCTCTCTTAGCAAACCTGTCCCTTTCGGGGTAGCTCTTCCTGCCTGCTTGTGTCTATGCAAGCGTCTTTTACTTTTCTGACCCTTTTCTAATAAACCTGCTCTTTAAATATAACTAACGGGTCTCCCCAGTGGCGCAGCGGGTTGAGCAGTGCTGTGAAGCTGTCCACAGCCTCTGCAGCGCAGGTTCGATTCCCAGCCGGCCAGGGAAATTCCCACATGGCGCGGCAGACCTCTCCTGTCTGTCTGCCTGTTCTGCTCCCCACTCTGTCTCTGGTGAATCCTTTCACCCTCCTGCGCCTCTGGCCTGTACCCCAGCTCCTGTATAAATAAAAAATAAATCTTTAAAAATAAATGAATGAATGAATGAATAAATAAATAAATAAATAAAACTAACGTTCTTTCTCGTGGAGAAACTTGCCGCATGCCGCTGAAAGGTGAGCTCTGGTGAAACCTTTCCCTGAGTAAGCCCAAGGACCCCCCCCACTCCAAACCTGTTACAAGTAGGGGTGGAGTCCACAAAACCTGTATTGAATTAGCTCAGGACATCCTTTCCCCCTAACAAACCCACTGACTCCAAAAACGACATCCCTCTCGCCCTCTGCACCTGTGGCTTACACCCCAGTTCTTGTATGCATAAATAAATCAATCTTTAAAAAAATGGACACATACCCCTGGTAGAAAAAAGCTCCAGATTTGGCTCTAATTTCTTGCCTCCCCCCTGAGAAGAGTGGTGATGTAGCTAGTTCCACAAAATTAAAAACAGGATGGTCCATCAGAAGCAAAACAACTGTGGTGGGCAGGATGAAGGCCCCTGAAGGTGTCACCTGGCAAAAGGGCTTCTGCAGATGTGATTAAAGTAGTGGACCTTGAGGTGGGGGATTAGCCTGGATAATGGTTGGGCCCAATGTAATCAGCAGGGCCCTTTATGATGGAAGAGGGCAGCCCTGGGGCAGTCTGAGGAGTGCAGTGGGAGGAGGCCTGGAAGGTCTCTGACAGAGGGAGGAGCCAGGAGTAAGGAAGGAGGATGGCAAAAGGCAGGAAAAGAGATAAACCCCAGAGGCTCCAGGAGGAGCTCAGCCCTGGAAGACCTCCAGGACTGTGAGCCCATAAGCTTGCTTGTCTGAAGTCACCACAAGGTAATTCGTTACACAGCAGCAGAGACCTAAAAACTACCAGGACGCTTACACCAGAGGGGGTTGGGCTCCAGAATTCAAAAATGGACCAGGGCGTAAATTTCAATGCAACCACCTATTAACCAGGACGTTTGCGGGTAAGTTACCTTAACTTCTCTGAAGCTTGATTTATTCAGGCTGAAGGACACCAAGTCCCTTCAAGCGTTACTCGAGGATCAGGAGAACCTGGCACCAGTTTGCAACCTCCTGGTCCCTAGATGAGTACAGGACTCTGCCCTGCTGTGGTGTCCTCTGTTCTGTGCTGGACCAGGCCAGGAGGCCCACCCTTACCTTGCTGTCTCTGTGAAGCCCCAGGTAGCGATGATGACGATACTGATAATTCCCTTGGGTTCATGTGCTAATGACTTGGCATATGAAACCCTTTACCAATCCATCTATTCAAGGTCTGTGTGTGCTGGATCAACTCGTGATTATCATCAGGCTTAGCCTCACCATTAAGAAGGAGCGATTTCTCCTGTGATTCCGCCACATCTTTAAGCAGACGAGTGTGTTTTACAGGCCAATGGAATCACAGCCATGGAAACAGGGGGAGGCAATTCTACAGGTCAGCAGGGCCCCATATGCTGTCCCCTGCATCAGACTGGCCAGTGTCAGAACTGTGTAATTAATGAAGAGGTGTTGTCTGTACCCTCCGAAGGAAGTGTTCCCGCCAGATAGTATAGCCAGAGAAACTGAACTCTTCATTACTTTAGGGAAATAAGGTATATCCAAGAAATTTCCCAAATGCTGCTTGGCCCCCTTCAGTTAAATCTCGCTTCTTTGGGGGTTCCCAAATGAACAAAAATTAAAATTACTCACTCTCTTGACTTTAATAATTGGCAAAATCTCTTCCCCTGTCCCCACCCTCAAAGGAGAAGCACTAAATACCTTTGCTAAATGCCAAAAGCCCCAAGCTCCAAGCTCTGTTTAGCAGGATGTTAAATTAAAGGAGCCTCGTTTCTGAGCACCCTGGGAGGGGGTGGCAGAGAGGCAAGGGAACGGATGATGTCGGAATGGCTACAGCCACACTTGCACAAACAGACTTTATGCAGAAATATATGAAAATAAGATCTCCTATTAATCTTTAATAGGGTTGCAGACTTCCTAAGGAAAATTATGTTGAATAGTAAATATACACTAGGTCGTTTTTCTTCCAGGCAAGTTGTTTTAAGGTCAACAGAGACTTTGAGCTCAGCAAACAAGAAGTCCCTAATATCTTCCTTCCTCGATAGGGCTCTGCTCCGGAGACGGGAATTGCGCTGTTACACATCAAAAGAACAAATCACTTATTCCACTGCCATCAGATCATCATCCCTCCCGTTGCAGAAAATCCCCAACTCCTTCTTAATAATCCAGTCTCATGTTTAACAGCCTCTTGTCAACAGCATCGCCTCCCTTCCAAGCCCCAGCTTAAACATTAAACATTTTACCTAAAGCTTTCAACTGAATTTAAAACAACATTCCACTCCTTTTAATCTTTTTTATGGAAATTAAGCAGCTGATTTTCATGGGCCACATGAGCCATTTTATAAGAAACTGGCCCCTCAATGGCACTACCTGGCCAGGTGATCTTGAGGCTTATTTTGACCCATTCATAGTGACCTTGAGGGTCTCCTCTGAGTGCTCCCACCTTCCCCTCCATGGCCCTGAGTGCAAGGAGAGCTCGCACTTCGGCCTCCCTGCCCACACCTCCCCTCCACCACTTTCTCTTTTACCTCTTCACTTGATAACAGGCCGCCCTCCACCATCAGAAGGTGGGCACCTTGGATTCTTCCCAGGAGAAAGCAGATGTCCAGTAAATTCATTTATGGAATGAATGAGTGAATAAATGAACTCAAGTGTCATACATTATGGCCCCATCACCTACAGATCAACTCAGTGTGAATGCCCAGGTGGTACAGGTTGGGCAACCTAACAGACCGGATGAGAAGAAACAGTAGCCAGGTCTAATGGCTGCGAACACTGCACTGGAAAAGTCACTGTGCCCGACTTCTCACAGCCACCTGGCTTCTTGCAGGCCTGGTCCTCTCACCCGCCCCCAGATTAGCCTTATTTTATAGATTAGCCTTACCAGAAAGTTCAACATCCAAACAATGTCATGGCGCTTATAAGAGTTAGGGCCTGATTTTAGAAAGAAGACCACAGGTTCTCAAGCTTATTGCCACTCCTCTAGCACTGGAAGAACAGTGTGTGCTGTTGAAGTTTTTGTTCTTGGACTTTGCTGCCATTTTGATGTTAGAAATGTGAGCTCATGAAGCAGAGGTGGATATGAGTGATGTTTACTAGGCCCCATAAAGTGTAATGATGGAGCTAGTGGGCATTCTTTTTGCTTAATAGCGCTTGCAGTTAAAAACATCACAAAATCCTACCTGCTGTCACTGTTGGGTAGGGCTAAATGCAATCCCATGCACAGCGGCGTGGAGGAGTCAGCCTGACCCAGGCCTTCCTTCACTGAGCACCTGACAGCATAGGCTGTGCAGAGGGTGCAGTCCGGAGGCTGTCCGGGATCTGAGATTTCCAGGGTGGAATTGCAAGGGCTCCCAGCATCCAGGTGCCCAGACCAAGAGTGTTCATTTTCTCACTGTCCCAGAGCCCATCGCGGTTTTTGTCACAGATTGCTCAGGGGATCAGTAACAACCAAGTGAGGGCCAGGAACCCGGGCAATCTCAGTGAACCTTTCAGGGTCCATGAGGCCAAAAGTACTTTCTTAGCCACTCTCAGTTTTGATTTGCCTTCCTCACTTGCATGTTCTCCAGAGAGTTATTGCAAAGAACTAAATGCCCAAGCACATGTAAGAACCTGGGCCTCTTCCACTCAATCACTAGATTCATGAAACTGTAAAAGAATGCCAGCCTCCTTTCTAAATACTTCTGTTTGAGAGCCTCCCTGGTGGCGCAGGGGTTAATGTCTCAGCACTATCAAGCTATGGCCAGCCACTGCAGCATGAGTTCGATCCCTGGCCAGGGAGCTCACCCACATGGCACAGCAGACCTCTCCTGTCTCACCTGCTGCTCCCCTCAGCAGTGTATTCCAGTAGATCCACCTGTTCTGCTCCCAACTCTGTCTCTGGTGAATCCTTTCACCGCCCCTGCACTTCTGCCCTGTACCCCATAAGTAAATAAATAGCTAAAAAATAAATATTTCTGTTTGAGAAAATAATGATTTTAATAAAGTATCTGCTATTTATAATAACACTTAATGGACTTCTTGGTTTGATTTTTAGTGAAGTCACAGATATGTAAACATTTCTCCAGCTTTGATTCCCACTGTAAGTCTGAATGAACCATGCCACAGCGAAGAGTAAGGCAGGCCTGAAACCAACAAGGTCCAAGCCACCGTTTCATCGACACAGGTGAAGGACATTTAAGCCCTATCTGAACAAGATCCAAAGGTCTCTCATTTTAAACTCTTTTGTTTTAAAATGGATAAATTTTAAAAAAAGCGAAAATAAAATCATGAGCAGTAACCGATTCCACACACCCCAGTGTCTGGAACATGTGGGTGGTTTAATGCATACTTTGCACCAGCAGCCGGGGACTCTGCAGCCCCGCAGACCCTCAGGGCTTACGTTCCTGTGGGCATCACTGGTGTGACTGCAGAAGTGTCAAGAATGCATCTCCTTATCTGTGAAATGGGGTGGAGGTGCCAGCGCTCTGCGCAGTGCCTGGCCCACAATGAATGTCACATGCTGGGGCAGGGGTGCCCCTCATCAGTGCTGCCAGGCCAGCACTGCCTTCCACAGTCCCCTGCAGCCCTGACGCTGCTTTGCAGATTCCAGGCACCTGAGTCCTGGACATCCAGCCACAGCCCTGTGGTGGCTGATTCAGAGCAGAGGGCCTCCCAAGGGAGAGACAGGTTCCCACTTGGTGGCACTGAGTCAGCCACTGCCCTTTGCTGGACGGCTGACTCAGACACAGCAGCCCCTGAGAGCCTTCTACTTATGGGGACTCACTGCCACAGCACGTGCCCCTGGGGGTGCCAGCGGTGCCCCCGCTGCCTATTCAATTTAAACAATGGTTGACTCCGCCGCCCAGGCCCCGTCCACACACGGGCACCTCCCTCCACGTCTCCCTGTGTGTGTCTTTGTGTGTCCATCAATTGTCTATTCCAGACAGGCATGTTCTCCAGATGACACACACTCCGAGCACCTCTGGACTTTGTCCACCCTTGCTTCCCCGTTTTCCCCAGTGGCACAAAGACTGAAAGATGGTGGTGAAGAAAACGGAGTGACCCGGCCTCCAGTCTGTCACAGCAGCAGCACCAACGCCATGTCCACGTGGTGCTTAGCGCAGTGGGTGCAGAAAAGCAGCAAGCATGCTCCCCCACCCCACACCCGACTTCAGAGGTCTCTGTCTGGGGTGGGAGGGAGGGGGGGTGAGTTACATTTGGAATCTTAGGCTTTCTTTGTCCTCCATGAAGAAAACTTGTGGCGAGGGAGGAAGAAGGAGCTATTTATTGTGTGTCTGCTGTGTCGGGGGCGGGTTCTGTGCTGATGGCTTTGCAGAGGGACCTCATCTCACTCTCCCAGCGGCCTTGCAGAGGAAGCCCTGCCCCGTTTAGCTGGGGTCTTGAGCTGCCCACCCTGGGGTGCCAGCCCAGGTCGGCCTTGCTCACACATACCGACAGTGCCTGGGAAGGCAAAAATAACTCCCTCCGCAGGGCCCGTGTGGTACTTTTCACACTGATGGTTCTTTTAAGTTCTTGTTTTTCTTGGATGCAAAATTTTCTGCGTAATTAATTGCTTTTGGTAATTACAGAGTGATTTCCCAGTCACTGAGTTGGAAATGCCCCACAGAAATTAAGTGGCAACAAGTTAGGATACATAACTTGGGGCAATGCCTGACTGGGGGTCTGGGGACCCCTTGGTGCACCCAGCAGAACTCCAAGCCTGGCTGAGGACCTGGGTGCTAATGAATGACAGTCACCCCACCACTGAATTACCAACAAAAAAGTGACAATGGACTGAATCATCTTTTAGGGTGCTCCTGTCAACTGCAAGCTGTGTCTCATCCAAAACATTCCTGTCTGCTATAGCAGGTCAGGACAGGAAGGTAACAGCCTTGGACCCCACAAGCTGTTGGTCTGGATGAGTGGGCAATCCCCAAGAAATACTGGGACCTCCCCCTTGTGCCCCATTTCTTGTTCAGTGAGTAAAACACATTTGGGGGAAAACAGCATGAAATGGAAACATCCCCGTCCGCTGGAATTAGAAAACTGGGAGACCATAAAATTGATCTGGTTGGGTTTAGGTCCAGGCCTGAGGGGGAAGCTAGTTTGCCCCACCTGTGACCTTCGGGGCCCCTGTACATGAACAGCCTCTGGACAGATCAGAGGGGTCCCTCTGAAGAAGAACAAACTACGTGGGGCAGCAGAGAGGGCCACTGGGGGTGCCCACAGTCTAAGAGAAGTTGATCTGAGGTCGAAGGTCCCAGGGACTCTTTCAGCACGTTCAAAAATGAACCCAAGATCTTCTACCCTTTGCCATCACTGTACTCAAGACGTGAGCCCCACCTGGAGGGCTTCCCATGATTGATGAAAGGGCCACAGGGCGGGGAGAAGGTCTGAAGGTTGACACCTGGATGACCCCAACCTGGCAGCAGGCCATGGCTTCTTTAGAGCCATTTATCACTTCGTGACAGCAGAGAAATCATCTCCCCTGAGACACGCAGCCGAGTGCCTGCTATCTGCCACCTTTGGGCAAGGAGAGTAGAAGAAGCCGGACTCCAAGGCTGGTCCAGCAGGAGCCACACAGCCATGCCAGGGATGGGCTGCCGGGAGCAGGCACGTGACTTCCACATCTACGGCTCCCGGGTCAAGCAGACAGCACTCAACAAATGTGTCCCAAGTGAGTGATCGACTTAATAACAATTATAATAAAATAAGAGTACAGTGGGTGAGGATTTTTTTCCATATTTGCAGAGACGGCACTGGCAATCAGCGCGCTGTCACTGAGAAACCCTCTGTAATAAGCAGTGAGTGCTCAAAAGGAAATTAGGTGGAGTAAGAACTTAACGAGCATGTATTACCTGAGTAGCTGCTTAGGAAAAAAAAAAATTAAATGACGCTAAGAGGCTCTGATAGACATTATGTTCTAACTCTCTCTGAAAACTGTCTTTAAAACGGATGCTGTCTTAGCCACTGAGCCATAAAGAGCATCTGGATGTGGGGCTGGCTGGGCCGATAGCTCTGCTGTCTGGAACTAAAGGTAGAAGGTTGACAGTGTAAGAACACTGGATTCTTGTCATGAGGAACAATCAGCTGCAAATGGTGACAGGAATCAGGTTTCAGCGTGAACAAGACCAGATGATACCCAAGTCCCAGTCACCCCACTGGCCTTCCCCTTGCTTGGCCTGGGCTGGTGGCAGGTCACCCTTGGGAGCTGTGTAGCCCAGTGATGCAAATGGCCAAACCCTTGTACATGGGTTGTTGTTTCAGCTACCACACCTTCCTCGGACCCACA